AAATTCACTAATTATTAAATTAAAAATTAGTTTTAAAAAAATTTGATGTGTTTTTTGTTAATTTTATACTTTTTAGTGGCATAAACTAAAAAATTATACTATTTAAATAATTAAAATGATAAAATTAACAAACAATAAAGTTAATTAAAAGTTTACAAACAAACATTGATATTTCAAGAATAAAAAGAAATTATACCCCTATGATTGTAATAATGGATAGTTTTTTAAAGCATGTTGATAAGGTTTTTATAGAAGATGCAGATGAATACTATGCATACAATGTATTAGCATTTATCTCTTGGTTAATAATTTTCTTTATATTAATATTACTATTTGTTTTATTCATAAGATTTATTGTTGTAATGATATACTTATATATATTTAGAAGATCTACAACAAATAACTCAAATCAACCAAATATAGTTGTAAATAATAATACTTTTAAACCTGAAAATATTACACCACAACAGGTGGATAAAAATGAATCAGTTGAAATAGATACAAATAAATAAAGTTTGTTTATTTTTTTTATAAAATGACAGTAAACACTAAAATAACCGAATTGATAAATAAAAATAAGAGAAACAAACTATTTACAGATAGAAAGAACATATCTAAACTAGCTAAAAGCATGTTAAACACTACATCTGTTTACATAACAATGTATGTGTTATCAATAATAGAAGATGCAAATAGAGATTACACTAATGAAGATATTGATAAAATATTTAAGACTATTGAATAAAAAACTTTGTTTAGATTTTTGTTTCAAATTTTATTTAAAAAAATAGGTAATCATCAATTTATGAAAGGATATTTAATAAAATTAAAAGGAATACTTGAAGATCTTAAAATTTTAAACAATAAAGGTGTAGAAGATATACCTAATAAGACAGAAAAGTATATAATTGATAATGAAAAAGAATTTGAAAATATCAAACAAAGAATATATGAGTATGAGCAATTAATCTCATTAGTGCAAAACCAAAAGAAAGAATTACAATTAAATTTAAATGATGCAGTTAATCAAATCAATGAGATGAAAAA